CACTAGCATTACCACAGAACAAAAGAGTTAGCCTAGCCTTCATAGGCTTGTGTCCTGGCAGTGCCTTTTCCTCCTGTGTGATGTAGGTCCTCTTTGGCACTTTCTTCCAAAAGAGGCCTGTTTCCTCACAACTGAACACTTGTTGGGGGATGAATCCTTCAGCCTCTACGTACTCCTTGAATTCATCAACGAATTCTTTGGTTGCACATTTGTTTGAACTAGCAGCCTCACCATGCCTTACAACACTGTGTATGCCACTACTCTTCTTGAACCAGCCTCTGCTAGCCTTAAATTCACTAACAGCAGCACTCATTCCAGGCATTTTCTTTATGAGATCTGCATACAACTGCCATGCCTTTTCGCAAATGATCAACTCTACAACACTATCTCCCACTAACTGTTTTTCGTTGATCCACACCAACAACAACTTCTCCACATCTTCGATTGTATGTGGTCTCTGTTTCGTTAGCATATTTACCCATTTCACAACTTTAGCTTCCTTGATTTCTACTTTCTTTGCCAGGATGGAACAGATTGTTGATTTCGACTTCCAATACCTTCTTGCAAGCTCGGCTAAACGTACACCACTTTCACATTTTTCTACATTCTCTCTTTTGAATTCTATTGTGTTTCTCACCTTTACCAAAGGGCTGGGGCCAGGAACTTTCTTTGGGCCCACGGTGGCTTATTTCGCAGCCACACTCAATAGTTCAACACAAAAAACAATGGATTATTACTAAATAGTTCAAATGAACGCACGAAGTAATGCTCACTTGACCAGTGACAGAGCCCGATTAAGACACGTACGCATGAGTGGAGGCTTCCCGGGTAGGTGGACACGTCTGATATGTACAATACCCAGGTGGAGGTACAAAATCCGGACCAAAATTTCACCCAAAAAAGTGGTCTAAATCCGAAATGTATGATACTTCATGCATAAGAAATCTGGAGTTCCACTGTAGGTATGCATACTGGTCAGAGACCGTCGTAAGTCCAAGGCGTCGGTAGATGAGTACATCGCTAAGTGAGGAGAGGCAGTATTTATTCCCTCATCTATATAGTTTATATATTCTACTGTGAACAACAAAGAGGCCAAACACTGACCCCTATGGAACACCACTTGTGATGCATTCTCACTCTGATTTATTTTTTTTTTATTAACACATCGGCCAATTCCCACCAAGGCAGGGTGGCCCGAAAAAGAAAAACTTTCATCATCATTCACTCCATCACTGTCTTCCCAGAGGGGTGCTTTACACTACAGTTATAAAACTGCAACATTAACACCCCTCCTTCAGAGTGTAGACACTGCACTTCCCATCTCCAGGACTCAAGTCCGGCCTGCTGGTTTCCCTGAATCCCTTCATAAATGTTACTTTGCTCACACTCCAACAGCACGTCAAGTATTAAAAACCATTTGTCTCCATTCACTCCTATCAAATGCGCTCATGCACGCTTGCTGGAAGTCCAAACCCCTCGTACACAAAATCTCCTTTACCCCCTCCCTCCAACCCATCCTAGGCCGACCCCTACCCCGCCTTCCCTCCACTACAGATTTATGCACTCTCAAAGTCATTCTGTTTTGTTCCATTCTCTCTACATGTCTGAATCACCTCAACAAAACCTCCCTCTGGATAATAGTTTTGGTAATCCCACACCTTCTCCTAATATCTGAAATACGAATTCTCTGCATTACATTCACACTACACACTGCCCTCAGACATGACATCTCCACTGCCCCCAGCCTTCTCCTCGTTGCAACATTCATCATCCATGCTTCACACCCATACAAGAGTGTTGGTACAACTATACTCTCATACATTCCCCTTTTTGCTTCCACGGACAAAGTTCTTTGTCTCCACAGACTCCTAAGTGCACCACTCACCCTTTTCCCCTCATCAATTCTGTGATTCACCTCATCCTTCATAGACCCATCTGCTGACACGTCCACTCCTAAATATCTGAACACATTCAACTCCTCCATACTCTCTCCCTCCAATCTGATATCCAGTCTTTCATCACCTAATTTTTTTATCCTTATAACCTTACTCTTTCCTATATTCACTTTTAATTTTCTTCTTTTACATACCCTACCAAATTCATCCACCAACCTCTGCAATTTCTCTTCAGAATCTCCAAAATCACTGCGTCATCAGCAAAGAGCAACTGTGACAACTCCCACTTTGTGTTTGATTCTTTATCATTTAACTCCACACCTCTTGCCAAGACCCTAGCATTCACTTCTCTTACAACCCCATCTATAAATATATTGAGCAACCACGGTGACATCACACATCCTTGTCTAAGTCCTACTTTTACTGAGAAATAATCTCCCTCTCTCCTACACATTCTAACCTGAGCCTCACCATCCTCGTAAAAACTCTTCACTGCTTTCAGTAACCTACCTCCTATACCATACACCTGCAACATCTGCCACATTCCCCCCTATCCACCCTGTCATATGCATTTTCTAAATCCATAAATGCCACAAAAACCTCTTTACCCTTATCTAAATACTGTTCACATATATGTTTTACTGTAAACACCTGGTCTACACACCCCCTACCTTTCCTAAAGCCTCCTTGTTCATCTGCTATCCAACTCTCTGTCTTACTCTTAACCCTTTCAGGGTCCGTGCCGTAGATCTACGGCTTTACGTTCAGGGTCCAAACCATAGATCTACGCCATGAGCTCAGCTCACTCTGATAAGCTGTGAGTGGTAAATTTGGGCCTAGATATGAGAGAATACATCTATGTGGTATGTGTGCACCACATAAAACAAATCCTTCAGCACACAGTGTATAATGAGAGAAAAAAACTGAGACCGTTATTTTCGATTAAAACAGCGACTCTACAGTGCTTTTTCGTATGTTTTTTATAGTTGTATTTGCAATTTCTTGGTCTCATTTGATAGAAAAGGAAGATATATTACAAATAGAGATGAAATTTTTATTGGTTTTTTAAACACTGGAAATGGCTTGAAACTGAGCTCAAAGTAGCAGAAATGTTAAATTTTTGTCGATGTTCAAGAGTAAACAAACGACCTCACACGTCTAATACATGCTAGCTGGTGGGTCTAATATACATTCACAAATGTGGTGATGATATTTATACAATTATTACAATATTGCATAACAGTAAATCTTCTATTTTTTGTTTTGAATAAAAATTCATTATGTGAATAAAAAATCAAAATGGAATTCATTTGTAAAGCCTCAAAACTTAACTAATGAACAGAGGAAATGTTAGTGTAGTGCCAGGAATGTCTGCATTGTTTATTCTGGACCCTATTTTGAAATTAGAATATTTTGAACTTCGTGTTTTAAAATTTGGGCCCAAATTACCAATTTCCGATCACTTTATTTTGTAGTTGAAACAGTTGACTGGGCGATTTATTGTGCTCAATCGATAGAATAGAAGTATTATTATTTTTTTATTATCACACCGGCCGATTCCCACCAAGGCAGGGTGGCCCGAAAAAGAAAAACTTTCACCATCATTCACTCCATCACTGTCTTGCCAGAAGGGTGCTTTACACTACAGTTTTTAAACTGCAACATTAACACCCCTCCTTCAGAGTGCAGGCACTGTACTTCCCATCTCCAGGACTCAAGTCCGGCCTGCCGGTTTCCCTGAATCCCTTCATAAATGTTACTTTGCTCACACTCCAACAGCACGTCAAGTATTAAAAACCATTTGTCTCCATTCACTCCTATCAAACACGCTCAAGCATGCCTGCTGGAAGTCCAAGCCCCTCGCACACAAAACCTCCTTTACCCCCTCCCTCCAACCCTTCCTAGGCCGACCCCTACCCCGCCTTCCTTCCACTACAGACTGATACACTCTTGAAGTCATTCTATTTCGCTCCATTCTCTCTACATGTCCGAACCACCTCAACAACCCTTCCTCAGCCCTCTGGACAACAGTTTTGGTAATCCCGCACCTCCTCCTAACTTCCAAACTACGAATTCTCTGCATTATATTCACACCACACATTGCCCTCAGACATGACATCTCCACTGCCTCCAGCCTTCTCCTCGCTGCAACATTCATCACCCACGCTTCACACCCATATAAGAGCGTTGGTAAAACTATACTCTCATACATTCCCCTCTTTGCCTCCAAGGACAAAGTTCTTTGTCTCCACAGACTCCTAAGTGCACCACTCACTCTTTTTCCCTCATCAATTCTATGATTCACCTCATCTTTCATAGACCCATCCGCTGACACGTCCACTCCCAAATATCTGAATACGTTCACCTCCTCCATACTCTCTCCCTCCAATCTGATATTCAATCTTTCATCACCTAATCTTTTTGTTATCCTCATAACCTTACTCTTTCCTGTATTCACCTTTAATTTTCTTCTTTTGCACACCCTACCAAATTCATCCACCAATCTCTGCAACTTCTCTTCAGAATCTCCCAAGAGCACAGTGTCATCAGCAAAGAGCAGCTGTGACAACTCCCACTTTGTGTGTGATTCTTTATCTTTTAACTCCACGCCTCTTGCCAAGACCCTCGCATTTACTTCTCTTACAACCCCATCTATAAATATATTAAACAACCACGGTGACATCACACATCCTTGTCTAAGGCTACTTTTACTGGGAAAAAATTTCCCTCTTTCCTACATACTCTAACTTGAGCCTCACTATCCTCGTAAAAACTCTTCACTGCTTTCAGTAACCTACCTCCTACACCATACACTTGCAACATCTGCCACATTGCCCCCTATCCACCCTGTCATACGCCTTTTCCAAATCCATAAATGCCACAAAGACCTCTTTAGCCTTATCTAAATACTGTTCACTTATATGTTTCACTGTAAACACCTGGTCCACACACCCCTACCTTTCCTAAAGCCTCCTTGTTCATCTGCTATCCTATTCTCCGTCTTACTCTTAATTCTTTCAATTATAACTCTACCATACACTTTACCAGGTACACTCAACAGACTTATCCCCCTATAATTTTTGCACTCTCTTTTGTCCCCTTTGCCTTTATACAAAGGAACTATGCATGCTCTCTGCCAATCCCTAGTACCTTACCCTCTTCCATACATTTATTAAATAATTGCACCAACCACTCCAAAACTATATCCCCACCTGCTTTTAACATTTCTATCTTTATCCCATCAATCCCGGCTGCCTTACCCCCTTTCATTTTACCTACTGCCTCACGAACTTCCCCCACACTCACAACTGGCTCTTCCTCACTCCTACAAGATGTTATTCCTCCTTGCCCTATACACGAAATCACAGCTTCCCTATCTTCATCAACATTTAACAATTCCTCAAAATATTCCCTCCATCTTCCCAATACCTCTAACTCTCCATTTAATAACTCTCCTCTCCTATTTTTAACTGACAAATCCATTTGTTCTCTAGGCTTTCTTAACTTGTTAATCTCACTCCAAAACTTTTTCTTATTTTCAACAAAATTTGTTGATAACATCTCACCCACTCTCTCATTTGCTCTCTTTTTACATTGCTTCACCACTCTCTTAACTTCTCTCTTTTTCTCCATATACTCTTCCCTCCTTGCATCACTTCTACTTTGTAAAAACTTCTCATATGCTAACTTTTTCTCCCTTACTACTCTCTTTACATCATCATTCCACCAATCGCTCCTCTTCCCTCCTGCACCCACTTTCCTGTAACCACAAACTTCTGCTGAACACTCTAACACTACATTTTTAAACCTACCCCATACCTCTTCGACCCCATTGCCTATGCTCTCATTAGCCCATCTATCCTCCAATAGCTGTTTATATCTTACCCTAACTGCCTCCTCTTTTAGTTTATAAACCTTCACCTCTCTCTTCCCTGATGCTTCTATTCTCCTTGTATCCCATCTACCTTTTACTCTCAGTGTAGCTACAACTAGAAAGTGATCTGATATATCTGTGGCCCCTCTATAAACATGTACATCCTGAAGTCTACTCAACAGTCTTTTATCTACCAATACATAATCCAACAAACTACTGTCATTTCGCCCTACATCATATCGTGTATACTTATTTATCCTCTTTTTCTTAAAATATGTATTACCTATAACTAAACCCCTTTCTATACAAAGTTCAATCAAAGGGCTCCCATTATCATTTACACCTGGCACCCCAAACTTACCTACCACACCCTCTCTAAAAGTTTCTAGTGAAATAGCTAAGAATTTGGTCGACTGGAATAATGCAATTGGCCTAAAATGGGAGTCAAAGTCAGCAAAATCGCCAATTCGTAAATATCGCTGACACATCAAAATTCGCAAGAGCATAATTTCACCAATTTTCCATCAAGTTTTGTACTTTTTGCTTTATTACCTTCAGAAAAAGTTTCTCTACCATTTCATAAGAAAAAATAAAAATTTTTTTTTAAAATTCAGGGTTAATTCTTTCAATAATAACTCTACCATACACTTTGCCAGGAATACTCAACAGACTTATTCCCCAATAATTTTTGCACTCTCTTTTATCCCCTTTCCCTTTATGCAAAGGAACTATGCAAACTCTCTGTTGCCTATACGTCAACCACACCTATATGCAGAAAAAGTTTCCCCACTTGTTCCGTGGGCCTCTACATATAGGCAGAAAACGTGTTACAGGTGCTTTTCCCTCAGTCTCGTGGAAAGCGTACAGATAAGTCCATTGTCTTACAGGGGAGACCTACTTAATGCACACAACCTCTCTCATCTCAGTGCTCTGGTTGTACACAATATCATACTTTAGCCATACGCCTGTTTTTACTCTTTCTCTGCCACACATCCAGCAACCTCCAACCAAACAACTCCTCCATGGCCACACACCTTCACATACACCATCTCAATCTACAACCTCCACCCTCACAACCCATTCAAACAATTCCCTCCCCCCCCAGCCAACTGCCTACACCTACCCCATTTCTCCCACAGCCACATTCTCCCACTACCTTGCCCAGTCCCACACCCTCTCCCACAACATATCTCCATGACCTCATGCCCACACCTTACTCAACTTTTCACTCTAACACACTGTTCACACACCTAATCACTTAACCACCCGCTACACTCATTACTGCCCACCCCACCAACTGCACACTCGCCCACTCTGTCACCCATCATCCATACCACCCACACCATGCCACCGACACCTTTCACTCACACCACTCCCCCACAGCTTTAACCCTCACAGCCTCCATTCCCACATCCCCAGTCTTGCATCCCCACTCTTGCATCCCCACTCTTGCATCCCCACTCTTGCATCCCCATTCTTGCATCCCCACTCTTGCATCCCCACATACCCCAGCACATTATCCACACACCTAGTCATGTAGCCATCCACCACTCTCATTACTGCCCATACCATCACCCACAAACACACCCACTCAGTCACCCATCATCTACAAACACCAGGCCTCCAACACTGCCACCCACACGATCACCATTGCACTGCCTCACTGCATCCAGCCTCCATTCGCCCCCCTACACCCCCCACTGCCCAGCATCTCCAACCTCCTAACACCAGCCTCTAGCTCCTGCCTAACCCCTCCAGTGTACACTCCAACTTTCACATCTCAAACACTCTGACCTTTCCTTCATAACCTAAATATAGTTACAAGTGAAACAACTTAATAATAAGGACCCTTCATCTGCTAGAAGAGATGTGGATACGGGATCTCTGACTGATGCACATCACACACAATTACATTACCTTCATTTTTTTTTTTTTACAATTGTGGGACATATAATGAGTGACTAAGGAACATCACCCTATTTTTCCAATATGTTCTTCAGTTCACTTTACACGATTTTTTTTGAATACTTGCTGTTTTCAGGAACATAATTATCATGTTAAATGATGGTTAACACTCACTCTTGCACGTGCGTGCGTGCACACACACACACACACACACACACACTGTAACAGTTGTGGATTCAGGAGCTGTGACTCGATCACTGCAACCACATATAGGTGATTATACATGCACATACATATATATATATATAAAACTGTTCTACTCAATTAAAACAACTTTCACTGGGTTATATTACCTCCTCTCCTTCTGGCACTTCATCGCCTCTTTTATGCATTCTTAGATAGTGACCATCCTCCTTAGTTATGCAGTATTCTAGGCCACAGTCTATATACACTCGATCAAGATCATCTTTGAGATTTATAGCTTCCAAGGTTGGAAAACCACAACCTACATCTGCAAAATACTTTGACCCAGGACTCAAAGATGCAGCTTGACTTCTGGTTTTTACAAGACTTTTGCCATTTAGACTTGTGGCAGAACACTCTTTTCTGCAGTTTGTTTCAGAATTTCTTAAAAATTCCAACACGTTCTTTTTGTTTTCTCAACATCAATAACTGTAATGACATGTACGCCTCTTCCACCTGTTGGAACGTAGTTTGCAGCTGCCGAGTAAGCACATACCCCAAATGACCTTAATACAGCAGCAAAAGCGAAGTTAAGAGAAAGACATAAACCACCTTTACCCTCTTGGAAAATGTCTCTGTGAATGTCTTCCCAAGATGGTACATGACGATCTGCATAATTACTCAGCAGTGTTATGTTCTGAAAAAGAGATAATACCACAATTAGGTAACTTTAAAGAATATAAGAGCACAAGGCTTGACAGTTAAAAATAAAAAATGAAATATTACATGGGAAAAAGAAAGTATTGGAAAGATGAAGAAAATATTCTGAATTTACTACATATTGATAGTGAAAGGGGTTATAATTTTTTGCATTGTACAGGAAGAAATAAGATCTGGGAGGAGGGAAGAGCCAGAGGTTAGTGCAGAAATGTGGGTAAAGCAGGTAAAGAGAAAAAGCAGCTATAATAGAAGGAATTGGTTTAGTGCTTCTTTTTTATAATAATAATAATAATAATAATAATAATAATAATAATAATAATAATAATAATAATAATAATAATAATAGAAGAAGAAGAAATTAAGACTGAGATGCTGAAAGTAGATGGGAAAAGAGTTTTGGAGTGGTTGAGTATTCCTTCAATATACATGTACTATGCATAATAGAAGGGAATGTACCTAAAGATGTAAAATAAACATGCATAACAAAGGAACATGAATAATCATGAAGGAAAAGAAACTAATAATTATAGGGAAATAAGCTGGTTGATATTGGGTAACAAGCACAGCAGAATTATCAATGATAGAAAATAGAATTACAGAGGAACAAGGATTTACAGTGGAACCTCAAATTTTGAACGTATCGCTTATCCAACTCTTTGAAAATCGACCGCTTTTTTCGAACCAACTTTGTCCCCTTTATTGAACTCGCCCTTTTGTTCGAATCGCTGGGTACTGGACCTGTCCGCCAGCCCACTCTGTCCGCGTATGTGTACATATGCGTACCTGTACCTAAGTAAACTTACACACTGCTCGCATGCAGGTACACATTACAATCACTAAGAGTGTCTTATTAGTCTTGAAGATGCCATATTAATGATAATAACACAATAATAATCACTCTAAGGAGCATTAAATATCGTATAAAAGGTTAATATAGACATTTTGCTTAATCCATTTAAATACACCCCACAGTAGAATAAATTAACATAAATATGAGATGTGGTAGCCAGGTGACTTGTAGGACTTATGGTAGCCAAGCAACTTGTGGTAGCTAGGCAACTTGTGGTAGCTAGGCAACTTGTGGTAGCCAGGTAGCTTGTGGTAGCCAGACAACCTGTAGGATTTGTGGTAGCCAGGCAGCTTGTAGGATTTATGGTAGCCAGACAACTTGTAGGACTTGCAGTAGCCAGGCAACTTGTAGGATTTGTGGTAGCCAGGCAACTTGTAGGACTTGTGGTAGCCAGGCAACTTGTAGGACTTGCAGTAGCCAGGCAACTTGTAGGACTTGTGGTAGCCACGCAACTTGTAGGACTTGTGGCGAAAACCAGATGCATTCATCTGGTTTGTTTACATTATGTGTGGGTGAGGTGGGGAGGGCTGCCCTTCCTGGCTGCCCATACTTCCCATCCTGACTTCATACAAATAAAACTCGCCTCTCACCCTACATTAAAACTACAAATATTTTAAGGTAATTAATGAGTGTACTATATATGCATTTTATCGCTCTAGGGAGCTTAATGTTGTAGTAGGTATAAGTGGCCAGGCAGGATGCCATACCTCCCACATAACTTTCTACAAATAAATACTTCTCACCTCTCACCCTACATTAAGACCATTGAGACTACAAATATTTTAAGGTAAGTAATATGTCTACTGTATATGCATTTTATCGCTCAAGGGAACTTTAACCCTTTCAGGGTCCAAGGCCCAAATCTGGAGTCACGCACCAGTGTCCAAGAATTTTCAAAAAAAAAATTTGTTATTTTTTCTTATGAAATCGTAGAGAATCTTTTTGTGAAGGTAATAAAACAAAAAGTACGAAATTTGGTGGAAAGTTGACGAAATTATGCTCTCGCGAATTTTGATGTGTCAGCGATATTTACGAATCGGCGATTTTGCCGACTTTGACTCCCATTTTAGGCCAATTACATTATTCCAGTCAACCAAATTCTTAGCTATTTCACTAGTATTACTTCTATTCTATCGATTGAGCACAAGAAATCGCCAAGTCAACTGTTTCAACTACAAAATAAAGTGATCGGAAATTGTTAATTTGGCCAATTTAACACAAAGTTCAAAATATTCCAATTTCAAAATAGGGTCCAGAATAAACAATGTAGGCATTCCTGGCACTAAACTAACATTTCCTCTGTTCATTAGTTATGTTTTGAGGCTTTACAAATAAATTCCATTTTGATTTTTTATTCACATAATGAATTTTTATTCACACCAAAAAAATAGAAGATTTACTGTTATGCAATACTGTAATAATTGTATAAATATCATCACCACATTTATGAATGTATATTAGACCCACCAGCTGATGTGTATTAGACGTGTGAGGTCGTTTGTTTACTCTTGAATATCGGCAAAAATTTAACATTTCTGCAACTTTGAGCTCAGTTTCAAGCCATTTCCAGTGCTAAAACCAATCAAAATCATCTCTATTTCTGTAATATGTCTTCCATTCTATCAAATGAGACCAAGAAATCGCAAATACAACTATAAAAAACATACGAAAAAACACTGCAAAGTTGCTGTTTTAATCGAAAAATCATTATTTCATTTTTTTTCTCTCATTATACACAGTGTGCTGCAGGATCTGTTTTATGTGGTGCACACACACCACATAGATGTATTCTCTCATATCTAGGCCCAAATGTACCACTCACAGTTTATCAGAGTGAGCTGAGCTCATGGCGTAGATCTACGGTTTGGACCCTGAACGTAAAGCCGTAGATCTACGGGACGGACCCTGAAAGGGTTAAGCATCATAGTATAGCATGTGTGGGTGGGGTGGCCAGGAGGGCTACCACACCTGACTTCTTAGAGTAAATACTACTCACCTTTTGCCATATATTAAGACTACAAATATTTTGAGGTAAATAATGAGTGTACTGTGTGCATATTTTACTTTTAATTGCCTAGTTCTATTGCTAACTTAATATATGTTAGTGTAAACTTGCTATCTGGCATTTATATGCATTTATAAATGGAAAAAATGGAGTTCTGCTTTCCAGCGAAGTCTGCTTTCCGGCGAAGTCTGCTTTCCGGCGAAGTCTGCTTTCCGGCGAAGTCTGCTTTCCGGCAGTAGCCTGGAACCTAACCTGCAGACTAAGTGGGACCCTACTGTAGTAGGGTGAGTAGGTGTTGCAAATGTATGAAACAGGTGTTAAGTGAATTTCTGGTTACCATATAGAGGAGAGAAAGAGATAATTTTTAGTTAAAATCAGGTCTTAGACGGAAATGTGATACCACTGTGGTTGGTTACTGTAATATATTTATATATGGGGTCGAAAAACATTTGAGGTAATAAATCTGAAATTAAGTGGGATGTGTCACAATTGCTTTTGTAATGACATAACAAAAGAAATTGCAAAGGCTGGTGGAAGAGTTTGGTAAGGCATGTCAAAGAAAAGATAAAAGTGAACAAAGAAAAGAGCAAGATGATGAGAGCAAATTAGTAACTTGACACCTACTGTCCCTGTTCACCTAGCAGTAAGTATGCACTTGGGCATTAAGTCACCTTATACCTGCTGTCCCTATTCACCTAGAGGTTAGTCACTTTACACGTGCTGTCCCTTTTCACCTGGAGGTAGGCACCTAGGTGTTAGTCATCTCACACCTGCTGTCATGTTCCCCAAAGCAAAAAGAAAGTATTGGGTGTTAGCCACCTTATACATGCTTTTCCCTGTTACCTAGAAAGAAAGTAGGTACTTGGGTGTTAGGTGTTTTGGGTGGGGGGGCATCCCCGGGGACAAAAAAAAGGACCACATAGGATTGTTTTTTGAAGCAGTTTTGACAGAAACCTACAAGGGGAAATAACCTGCTTGACTTAGTTATGGCAAACAATGAATCCCTTTTTAATAATTAAAAAAATTTCAGAGGAACTGGGTGCTAGGCCCCACAAATCAATTACATTTAGCTTTGAATAAAAAGTACGATAGTAGCGATAACTCGAACGTCCGATTTTCTTTTTAGGATTCGGGGGCTTAGAGAACACTTATATCTGTTGATGGGGTAACAAAGAGAGCTATCATATGACATTTTTTTGAACATTACATTGCTTAAGAGCGTTTATCCCATATAAAGAAATTAGATAAAATAGAAATGCCCCAAATGGATGAATAATGGTTAAAATATTACTGGAAAAGAAAAAAATTTATAGGATATCAAAAGAGGTGAGGGTCATCTTAAAAATCAGTATTTGACTTTAAAGGGGACTTTAAAAAAAGGGAAAAAAAAAGCTAAAAGGGACTATAAAAAATTAAAAAAAATTTTTTTGCTAGGGATTCAAAAAAACTACCCAAAAAAAGTTTTTTTGATTTAAAAAAAGTTAGAGATAAATAGGTTTAAAATACATGGGCCCCTAGAAAAAAAATGAAATTCTTATTTTAAAAAAAAACCCCCCAAAAAAAAAGAAAAAACCAAAAATTTTTAACAAAAAAAAAAAACAAATTGAGTTTTGAAGCAGATGAAGAGAAGCAAAATAAGTCCCCGGGTCCTGAGGGGTTTTTTTAAAGGGTTTTTAAAGGAAATAAAAATGGAACTCTGTGAAATTAACAAATATTTTTAATTTATTCTTCAAACAGGTGTAGTGTTGAATGTGGAAGATGGCTAATGTAACTCCTATTTTTTTAAAAAAGGGGACAAGTCGTTACCGTAAATTACCCCCCCAATAAGCCTGACCTCAATTGTAGGCAAAAATTACTAGAGTCGTTATAGCGAGATTAAAGAAGCCCTCTCGATAAGCATGTTGATTAAGATACTCGCATGGATTACAAGAGGCCGGTTTTTTTCTAACTAATTTTATTAAATTTCTTCAAAAGCTTTGAGGCTGTTGACCACAATAAAAATTTTATATTATTTACTTAGATTTTAGTAAGGCTTTTGATGGTTCCGCACCTAGACTGTTAAAAAAAGTGGCAGCCTGGGATTGGGGGAAAAAAGGGTCTCGTGGATCGAGTCATGGTCACTGCAGGAAACAGAGAGTGCCATAAATGGGGTTAAATCCGAGTGGGGATCTGTAACAAGTGGCGTTCCAGGGATCAGTTTGGGCCCTTTTTTGTTTATAAATTTTATCAATGTCTTGATGAGGGAATTATGTGATATAAAATTCGCCGTGACCAAAAATAGGTAGGATAATTGATTCAAAAGTAGATGTTATGGAACTTAGGAGGTTTAAACAAACTTATTTTGGTCAAAAAGTGGCAATGCGTTCAATGTAGAAAAATGCAAGGTTGAAGCTTGGGAGTGCCCAAACCCTAGTATTATAAGTTAAATGATGTAGAAATTAGCCATAAGTTGCAAAAAAAGGATTGGGGGTTATGGGAGCAGCAACCTTTTAAACAAGACGCAATGCCTTTTGCGTACGTAATAGGCAAATAGATTTTGGGATTTATTCAAGAAATGTAAGCAAAAGAAGTCCAGAGGTATACTGCGCTTTATACATCTTGTAAGGGCCCCAACCCAGATTATGCGCTTTTGTTCTGGTCTCTATTCAAAATGGACATAAAATTTGTTAGAAAAACATTTAGGTAGGACGACTAAATTTTAAAAATAGCTTAGAAATTTCCTTATGAAGAAAAATTGAAGATCTTAAGTTTTATTCACTTGTTAGGAAGATGAGGGGAGACCTGATCGAAGTGTATAAGTGGAAGAAGGTATTAATAAGGCGTATTATAAAGGGCTTGAGGTGTCTCTCCCAAAAGGAACCCGAGTAAAGGATTTAAATTAGAAAGCTTGATTTAGAAAGGACAAGGAAATACAGTGGACCCCCGCTTAACGATCACCTCCAAATGCGACCAATTATGTAAGTGTATTTATGTAAGTGCGTTTGTACGTGTATGTTTGGGGGTCTGAAATGGACTAATCTACTTCACAATATTCCTTATGGGAAAAAATTCGGTCAGTACTGGCACCTGAACATACTACTGGAATGAAAAAAGTTCGTTAACCGGGGGTCCACTGTATTGGTTTGGAAATAGGGTAGTTGATGAGTGGAACAGTCTACCTAGTTGGGTTATTGAGGCTGGGACTTTGGGTAGTTTCAAATCTAGGTTGGATAAGTACATGAGTGGGAAGGGTTGGATTTGAGTAGGACTTTCACATCAGAGCTTATTTCTTGGGTGGCATTGAAAATTGGGTTGGGCAAATGTTTTGTTAGTGGGATGAATTGTAAAGGACCTGCCTAGTATGGGCCAGCAGGCCTCCTGCAGTGTTCCTCCTTTCTTATGTTCTTATGAAATAAGACACAGTCCTCCATGACTGCACTGACTTTTTTGGATTATCCTGAGTAGCTAACATTCTCTATCCCAGGTTATCCTGGGTGGCTAAAACCTCTTTATCCCAGGTTATCCTGGGTGGCTAACCCTCTCTATCCCAGGTTATCCTGGGTGGCTAACCCTCTTTATCCCAGGTTATCCTGGGTAGCTAACCCTCTTTATCCCAGGTTATCCTAGGTGGCTAACCCTCTCTATCCCAGGTTATCCTGGGTAGCTAACCCTCTTTATCCCAGGTTATCCTGGGTGGCTAACCCTCTTTATCCCAGGTTATCCTGGGTAGCTAACCCTCTTTATTCCAGGTTATCCTGGGTGGGTAACCCTCTTTATCCCAGGTTATCCTGGGTGGCTAACCCTCTCTATCCCAGGTTATCCTGGGTGGCTAACCCTCTTTATCCCAGGTTATCCTGGGTAGCTAACCCTCTTTATCCCAGGTTATCCTAGGTGGCTAACCCTCTCTATCCCAGGTTATCCTGGGTAGCTAACCCTCTTTATCCCAGGTTATCCTGGGTGGCTAACCCTCTTTATCCCAGGTTATCCTGGGTAGCTAAACCTCTTTATTCCAGGTTATCCTGGGTGGGTAACCCTCTTTATCCCAGGTTATCCTGGGTGGCTAACCCTCTCTATCCCAGGTTATCCTGGGTGGCTAACCCTCTTTATCCCAGGTTATCCTGGGTAGCTAACCCTCTTTATCCCAGGTTATCCTGGGTGGGTAACCCTCTTTATCCCAGGTTATCCTGGGTGGCTAACCCTCTTTATCCCAGGTTATCCTGGGTGGCTAACCCTCTTTATCCCAGGTTATCCTGGGTGGCTAACCCTCTTTATCCCAGGTTATCCTGGGTGGCTAACCCTCTTTATCCCAAGTTATCCTGGGTAGCTAACCTTCCCTATCCCGGGTTAAAAAAAACCCACAAGAATTTTAACACACCTGAAATGGTTGTTTCATCTGAAAAGCCTGAATGAGTTGGTTTATCCAAGCAATGTTTGCTGGATATGTTTCTGGCAGATTTAACTCCAAGACTCTAGTTACAAATTCTTCAGCTTCCTCTCTCTTAAGCTCAGGAACATCATCGTCTTCACCCATGACAACTTTTTTTTTTTTTGCTGGTATAATTCATACC